AGTGAAGCGCAATTCTTAAAAAATATAATGTAAACCTTGCAACGAGACAATATAAGTAATCAAAAAGTTCAATTTAAAAGCTTAAAAGTAGGTACCACAAAACTCGATAAACCATAGGACAAGCAAAATCAAAACCACTAAATTACTAGAATCAACATCTTATTCTTCTACTCTTCTTGTTCTTCTTCAAGATTGTCAAAATCTTGAATCCTCTATTATCTTCATATTGCTCGTCATCTTCTTCTTCCCCCTCCTCTTCCTCTTCATGATCACTTTCATCTTCATCAATTAGGGATCGACTTGTAGTAGCCACACTTTTTCCCTTCCTATTCGAGCTTGAACTTGAAGTATTCCCCCTTAAACCATAAGGGTTCTCCCCAACTCCACTAACCTCCGCAACATCACCCCAAGTGAAATTAGAGTCGCCTTCAAATACTTTTTCATCTTCACAATTTTCGGAGACTCCGGTTAGCCACTCATTAGCCTCATCAATATTGTCCAAAAGAATTGGATCAATTAGATTGCGGTGGTTGTAGCGACGCCTCAATGCTCTATTGTATTTTATGAACACTAGAGTATTGATGGGGGAGTCCCAGATTAAGCAGAGATGGCAGACGTACTTTCATGGTCTTCTAAATGAGGAGGGGGACCGAGATATAGTGCTAGGGGATTTGGGGCATTCGGAGAGTCCGCGAGACTTTAAGTATTGCAGGCGCATTAAGGTGGAGGAGGTCGTGGGGGCTTTGCGTAAGCTGAGTAGGGGTAGAGTGCCCGGGCCAGACGAAATTCCGGTTGAGTTTTGGAAGTGTGTGGGTAGAGCAGGCTTAGAGTGGCTGACTGGGTTGTTCAATGTAATTTTTAGGATGAAGAGGATACCGGATGAGTGGAGGTGGAGTACAATGGTACCGTTGTACAAGAACAAAGGTGATATCTAGTGTTGTAACAATTATAGGGGTATCAAGTTACTAAGCCATACCATTAAAGTTTGGGAGAGGGTGGTGGAGGTGAGGAAGATGGTGTCTATATCCGACAACCAGTTTGGGTTCATGCCGGGTCGCTCAACTACAGAAGCTATCCACCTTATTAGGAGGCTGGTGGGACAGTACAGGGATAAGAAGAAGGATCTGCACATGGTGTTTATTGACTTGGAGAAAGCGTATGACAAGGTCCCTAGGGAGGTGCTCTGGAGATGTCTTGAGGCAAAGGGTGTGCCGGTAGCTTACTGTAAGGCCCCGTAAAATTTTGCAAAAGAAAATAATGTTTCGTGGTGCCGAATTGGTTTTACGTGTTAAGTATTATAGAAATTCTTCGCAGCGAGTTTGCGAGCCGCGGCTCGAACTTTTTGGGTTGATCAATGCACCGGAAAGTAAAGGAAAATTTTTGGCGGAAAAGTGCGTTTCTGCGGTTCATTATGCGACCGCAGAACCACTCTGCGGGCCGCATAATGGCCGCAGAAGTGAGGCAGGAGAGGGCCAGATTGGATGCAATTCTGCGGTCGACTATGCAACCGCATAACTGTTATGCGGGCCGCATAGTGACCGCAGACACAGACAGATTTTTGGTCGTTTTGGTCAGCAATTATGCGACCGATATGCGGTCCGCATACTGATTATGCGATCGCATATGCGATCGCTCGCAGAACCTGTTCCGGAGTTTCATTTTTTGGATTTTTAAAACCCGACCCTATTTCGTTAAATACACTCTTTGGGCCATTTTTGAGGTATAATCTGACATTTTAGAGTGAGAGAGAGTGCCCTAGAGTGAGAAGGTGTTCTTCAATAATTGTTCTTCAATTCTTGCTCAAGTTTTGGAAGATTAAGAAGGGAAACTCACTAGGTCTTCATCCTAGAGGTAAGATTCTACAACCTAACCCCTAATTTCGAAATTTTATGAAAATGGGTAATGAGCAAGATAATTTTTGGGCATGAAAGTTGTTTATTTTACATGCATGTGATATCAAGGGGTGTAGGAAGATTGTTGAACTAGGCATGGTAAAGATTGGGTTGTGGGATGATGGAATTCTCCATAAAAGGAATTTGAAACCTTATGCACACCTAGTATTTGATAAAATACTCAAATGAGCTAGAACCATGATCATCGTCCTAATTTTGGTTCAACTTGTTATATTTCTACAATAGATTGAAGTTGCTAAAAATTCCAGAACATTTAGAGTGTAAGGAAGCTCAAGTGAGGTATGTTGGCTAAACTCTTCTTTAAGAATTGGAATTCCCATTATCCTTGTAAGTTGCAAGATGTTGATTACAAATCGAGTATTCCGATAAGTTTTGTAATAAAGATATATGTTCAATTCGTGTTCAAATGCTCTTATCATATTGCATTATAAATTGAGGATGTGTTCCAAACTATGGATTGTGTATCCACATGTTATAATTTCAAGTCGTGATTTATGTGAAAGTTATTATGCCAAGCTGTGTAAAGATTGTGATTGTGATACACCTCCACCCGTATATATTGGGGGTGAGGCGGCATGACCGCTTTG